AACCCAGGAGTCCTGGCTCCCAGCCCCCCATCCGCGCGTTTTAACCACTCCCCAAGATAAAAAGCTGTTTATTTCTATTCCTGGTTCCCCAGCACCGGCTCCTTATTTTGGGCAAACCTCAATGGGGAAGTGAAAGCCCCAGTTGCCCAGGGGAGGGGGGAAATCCTATTAACCCTTTACAAGTGGGGTCCACTCCACAGACCCCATTAACCTGCCCTCTTTGCTGTCCAGGATTGAGGTCCCTGGCTGGCCCGGGGGGGGGGGGGGGGGGGGCCCCCCGCCCTTCCCCTCTCCCGGGCCCGCTGGGGGGGGGGGGGGGGGGGGGGGGGGGGGGGTGGGGAATTTTCGGGGGTCTTGTCAAATGTTGGGGGGGTCTTTTATGACGGGGCACAAACTCCTGCAGTTTGCTTCCCCACTTTACCTGGTGGGGGAATTTTGGGAGGAATGATTTTTGGCGGGCAGCAAAGTCTGAGTCTGTGTGTGTGGGGGGGCGGATTCTGGGCATTGTTCTGGGGGATTAGCACGTTGAGGGGGGGGATGGAAAGCTCTGGGGTTCCCCTGCGTTCGGGGATGCCCCCCCCGGGGGAGGGGAAATCTAGGGGGCTGTACTTCGCCAGACACACGCCAGCCCCGTCCGGCCCCTCCCTGCTGGGGCGGCTGCCAGGGGTAGGGCTGGGGAGCGGGGGGAGGATTCAGACGGGCAGAGAGAGAGGGATAGAGACAGCCTGCGCGAAAGAGGAGAGACTCCCCCAGCCCGTCTGCAGCGCCAGGTATCCCCCACCCCCTCCCGCGCCGGGGATCTGCCCCCTGCCCCCCTAAACTCCCTTCTGCGGGATCTGCCCCCCTTAACTCCCTGCTGGGGGACCCGCCCCCTTTCACTCTCTCCTGGGGGGGATCTGCCCCCCTTAACTCCCTGCTGGAGGGGAGATGTCTCTGTCTGTCTGTCTGTCTTACTGGATCGGTCTCGATGTGGACATTTCCTTTGCGGAGTGTAGAAGTTCTGCGCTGGCTGCTGTGCGGGGACGGGGGGCGAGGGGAGGATCCCAGGGCGCTGGCTGCCCCCCCCCTCCATGCTCTTGGTTTAGAGGGGAAGAAACAAACCCTGAAACCCCCGCCCCGTGCACTATGCGGCCCCTGGTATCCCCTCCCACCCACAGCATCCCTGCCCCTCCCCCAGCACCCCCCAGGTATACCCAACCCCCCCAGCACACACAGTGCCTCCCCACCCCACCCAACGACCCCAGAACATGCAGCGCCCCCCGATATACCCCCCCAGCACACACAGTACCTCCCCACGCCACCCAACCCCCCCAGCACCCCCCCAGGTACATCCAACCCCCCCTGAGCAAACACAGTGCTTCCCCACCCCACCCAGCCACCCCAGAACATGCAGCGCCCCCCCCCAGGTATACCCAACCCTCCCCAGCACACACAGCGCCTCCTCAGATATACCCCCTCAGAACACGCAGTGCCTCCCCACCCCACCCAACCACCCCAGAACATGCAGCGCCCCCCCAGATATACCCAACCCCCCCAGCACACACAGTGCCTCCCCACCCCACCCAACCACCCCAGAACACGCAGTGCCCCCCCAGGTACACCCAACCCCCCCTGAGCACACACAGCCCCAGAGGAGGGCTCTGTTTCCGGATCCATCCAGCCCTTGGACTCTGCTCCAGTTGGTGTCTGTGGACCCCCATCCCACTAGAAGCTGGGCTGAGACCAACAGACACCCACAATGGGGTAGAAGCCGGTGCCCCCTAGGGAGAGGCCCCATGTCTCATTCCCTGCTCCCCATAACCAGCCAGTCCCTTCCCTGGGGCCAGGGGGGAGTCGGTGCCCCCAGAGGGGAGAGGCCCTGTGCCCCATTCCCCACACCCTGAACCAGCCAGTCCCTGCCCACGGCCAGGTGGGACCCAACGCCCCCTAGAGGGGAGAGGCCCCGTGCCCCATTCCCTGCCCCCCTGAGCCAGCCAGTCCCTGCCCTGGGGCCAGGTGGGACCCGGCGGCCCCTAGAGGGGAGAGGCCCCGTACCCCATTCCCTGCCCCCCTGAGCCAGCCAGTCCCTGCCCTGGGGCCGGGTGGGACCCGGCGCCCCCTAGAGGGGACAGGCCCTGTGCCCGTTCAGTGAGGCAGCCAGTCACACCCAGGCCAGCACCACTGCAATCAATGGTCAAGTTGTTTGTGTCTCTTCAATGGTGTCTTGATTTAGAACAGAAAATACTAACTTGTGGCTGCATGGCCCCGGGCTGGGAGCCAGGCCGGTCACCAGCGCCGCCGTGCAGGGCTGGGGCTGCCTTTGAGGGGGTAACTGTGACTCAGAGCGCCCCACAGTGCCCCTGTGTGGGTGCCGTGCTGCAGGGAGTGGGGCTGGGGGCTCGGCAGGGGGCGCTGGGCTGCGGGGAGTGGGGCTGGGGATCAGGAGGGGGGGCTGGGGAGCGGGGAATG